CCACGGTTAATAGAAATTAAATAACAGATATTAAATTTAGAACTATATCGCTCAAAAACTCCAAACACTTAATCTTAATCGACAAATGTATTATCTGATTACGATAGATTGTCAAATAGACAGTGTGTGAGCAGTTTGTGTTATAACATATTGTTAGTACCTATTTCGTAAGCATTCGTGTAAGCGTCATTCGTTAAAATGGATTTTATAAAAACTGTAACAAACAAAGGTGTTGTGTGTATTTTATTTAAAGAACAAAAATATAGATTTTTAAGAGAAATGGCCAGTGGTAATGTGTCATTGAGGTGTACCAAAAAAAAATGTTCTGCTAGAATAGAGATGGATAAATATTTATATATTTATGTGCATGTATATTATAATTTACTATCGACATTTTATTTTTATAAAAAATTAACCAATTTATTAAATTTATTAAATATTTATGTGCATGTATATTATAATTTACTATCGACATTTTATTTTTATAAAAAATTAACCAATTTATTAAATTTATTAAATATTTATGTGCATGTACCTACCTATATTATAATTTACTATCAACAAAATAATTTTAATATAATATAATTTTTATAAGATATAGAAATTTTTAAATAACTACCTACTTAATACTTTTATAAATTATTAATTTTGGCGCATATGATATGTAATTTTTGCACCTTTAGCGCTTATGTCATATGTTGGGTATAGCAGGTATACAATATTAGATTGGCGCTTATATCCTACTGATTTTGGCGCAAATGATAGGTCATTTTTGTACCTTTGGCGCTTATGTCATACAGCCAATATTATTATGTAATATGCACTTTTATATATATTACGATAATAACTAGACGTAGGTAATCTATATTCAGCCGCATCGTAGTAATCGTTTTAATAAATTGGTCAGTCTGCTGTTGCGGTTTTCTATATAGCTAGGTCAATTATTGTCGCAGCAGCTGCTGCAGTGGCATAATAATATTCGGAGCACGACACGGGTGGGCCAATACAATAAGACGTCGATATATATATATATATATAACTACACACACACACACACACACACACACACACACACACACACACACACACACACACACACACACACACACACACACACACACACACACACACACTAGTATATCTAGAGAAGACATCTAGTGATCTGTGCTCAAATATAAATAGGTGAATTAGGTAACGTGCGCGCGGCGGCCCACCCACACACGAACTTAAAAAATATTTGCACGCCGTGAGTTTTATATTAATTATTAATACTATATAGTATATACACAGTATATTATAATATATATATTTATATAGGTACCTATAATAATTATAGTCTATAATCTATAAATAGTTAGGTACTTTGATAACCAATAATGTTATACCTATGTATAATATATATTATAATTAATATAATACTAATACGATTATATACTAATTATATATATATATATATTACGAGCTATAGGTAGGTACATAGGCGCAAATTTGGGGTGGGGGGCTTGGGGGTGCTAATCCCCCCAAAAAACCAGGACATACAATTTTAATATGCTATATTGCAATGGTCTGCTTGCCTTTAATATATTCAGCCCCCCCAAGCCAAAAGTTGAAATTGCGCCCATGGGTAGGTACCTAAAATATAGATAGTAAAATACATAGGCATTATTACCAGCTATATCTGTTTTAGAATCAGCATTACAGATGCAATTTGGGTAGAAATTTTGATATTTGATATATTCTTCAGACAATGAATGGAAAAAGAGGATACAGGAGAGGGGCCACATTATCATAGGCGCAAACAGGGGGGTGCTTAGCCCTACTAGAATTTCTATAGCCCCCCCCCCCCAAACTAATGATATCACAAATTCACAACTATAATTTAAAAGTATCATAAGAGTAACTTTTATAATATTTATAAATATTATAAATTTGGGGGGCTGTAGATCAGTTCTACATTTATAGCCCCCTAAATTTCAAACACTATTTACGCCTATGCACATTATCTATCAATATAGGTATTAAATTTATTTCGTCTACGTTCTGACTTATGAGGCTGTATATTAAGAAGTATACTAAGATGTTTATTAAGAGGTATATCAAGATAAAATTTTAATTTTTCATAAAATTATAATTTATAATGGCGAGTAATGTTGTAAATTATAAATTATAATAAATCACACCTCAATATAAAGATTAAAAACGAAAATTGTTATAGGTTAGGTTAAAAATTTTGTGGCAGCGAGTTAATAAAGGTTTATATATTTAAAAATGTATTACCTAATATTAAATATTAATATGCAGTCATTAGTTTTAAATTAATACATTTGCAATGTTAAGGCCGTTAAGGGGCCATTACAGTTACATTTGTTTTCTCTGTCTTACAAATGCGTAACATAGCAAATTTTCATCAGCAAAATACGTTTATCTCCCTTTAGTTTAAAAATTAGAGCTAGTTGACCTCTTATAAAATTTGAAGGTAAGATTATTATCAAGACAATAATAGATATAAGCTTTTTATTATATTTTAATTTTAAAGCGAGTTATGGGTATTTTAAGATGTACAAACAGTTTACAATTTTAAAATACACATAACTCGCTTTAAAATTAAATTATAATAAAAAATCTATGTCATTGTCTAGATAATAATCTTACCTTTAAATTGTATAAGAGGTCAATTCGCTCTAATTTCTAAACTAACGGGAGATGTACGTGTTTTGCTGAGCGTAAAATTTGTGATGTTACGCACTTGTAAGACGGTGACAACAAATGTCACTGTAACGTCCCCTTAAACAGAAAAATTAATTTAATAATGTAATAATTAATTAATAATAATGATTAATGACTAATGTGATGTATCAATGTATCATACTATCGTCTATCATACACGATGTACCATGTACCTATATATATGTAAGTACTATAAGTACATTTTCTATTAGTTTCTATAAGCTTACTCCTCATCAATTATTAGTTATTACCTATAATAAAAACTTAAAAGGCTCAAGCCCCCGCCGTTGATTTCATTCCCTATTTACCTATATTAAATATTAATTATTAGGTATATATATATATATATATATTAGCGCCTATTGGAATTTGAAACACAGGCGTAATTATAGGTTTGTTTCAGCCTTGATATTGTGGTAGTAAAAAGTTGTGTGTGTCACATGGAGGGGACGTGAGGGCGAAACATTCCACTTTATAGTTCTACTTTAAATCCCATGTTATAACCTTTATGTGTTTTTTGGACGTTGGACCCTACATTAACCACAAGTTTATATATAGTATAACGAAGTAGAAGTAAATTTTAAAACGTACAAATATTTATATTATTTTATGACCTTATGCTGTCATAAATACCTATATATATATTATACAGGAAATGGGTTGATTTAAGTGAACTGCACATTTGGTATTTCCTATTGCCCTGCAATTTGGTTCTATAAAATATATAGGTACAGACCGCCGACCGCCATAATAAGGGTTTTATAATATAGTGTTTGTATTTTTAACGATCCGCGTAGCACAAAATTACCCTTCACCCGCTATACGTAAGTACAGAGTAAATCTAATATGGGCGTATATTAGGTCGGAAGATCGACGGTCGCGGGATCGGGTTTCTGTTATGTTTTCGGCTTTGCGCGCGCGTCTTCGCTAATTGTTTTCCAAGCTCCGAGGCCAAGATGACGATATTGCAGCGACCTCCCGCAATATTGTAAACACACATCGGACGGTCAGAAAATATTACTCAATCCAAACACCACCGCTAAGTTGTTTGCACAAGCCCGATCATCACATTTTTCGCGAAGGGTCTCTCTCGTGTACGACGTTATTATTATTATTATTAATATAGGTACACGCGTCTTTGTGCAACGTCTGTTCATAATGAAATTGGCGCCATCCGACGTGAATCGGTGTGGCGCCCGCCGCCGTTTCAGACGACGACCCGGGTGCCCCAGTGCCCACACCGCCAAGTCCCCAATGCGTGGCTGTGGCGGTGGCGTCGTCGTCGGAGGCGGATGGTGGTGTCGGAGTGTCGGACCGGCGGCGCGGCCGAAACTCAGCTGTTCGCATTATCAAATTAGAGCGCCGCCCCGAACGCGCGTCCCGCGGGCGGCAGTTGTCACTACTGCGGCGGCCGTGTGCGTGCGTGTGCGCGCGGAATCGATACTATCGGCGATAATATGTGTTGCCCCTCCACCCCGCGAACAAGGTTTCGATTGTTCGGCTTCGGCGGCGACGTCGGCGATAGCGCGGCCGCCGATGCTGGGCGGGCCGGTCGGCGAGTCGTCGAAAAATCGAATATCGAAATCGACGGTTGTCGTACCGCGACGTCGTCGGTACGTAATCCGGCCGGGCGGGTATACCCGCGGATAAATGTGTAAACATCGATAGTTGACGGCGCCCGTGACGCGCGAGTGTGCCGCCGCCGTGTGTGTGCGGTGAGAAGGAAAAAAAGGATGTGACCGGAGCATTACGAAAATGGGCGCCCGCGGTTGATGTCGGTCGGTCGGTCGGAGCAGCAGCAGCTATTATCAATTCAGTCGCCGCGTTCTTTGTACCACCGCCGCCGCCGCCGCCGCTCCGGAAAGACCGCCGACGTACATCTACGTACGCGGCCGCCGCGGTTAGTAGTCGGACGGCAGACAATGGTGCGTTACGTCCGCCGCCGCCGTCGTTGAATGTCGCGCGCGATATTAATATTATAATATTATTATTATTCTCTCGTCACCACCGCCGAGAAAGGGCCGTGCGCGCCATCCACCGTATTAAATATTATGATATGGTAATTGCTAGTCGTTTTTGAAAGAAAAAAAATCGAATCTACATCGTCTTCGTGTTTTAATACCTAGCTCTCTACCCAATTGCCCATTATTAATTTATTTCTACGAAAATAATATTAACCTTATAATTATATTATAATATTATATGATCTAAGTAGGTAGGGTATCGTTGAATTTTTTTTGTCTCGTCGAATCCGGATCTGCACTTCCTTTGCTATGATTGGCGTTGAGAAGAAAGACGACGGCGACCGTTCGACCGTTTCAATGGACCAAACGTTCACAGGCACCATACGCATAAAGCTCTGTGAGGCCTCTGGCTTGCGGCCCACTGACCTGCAGACACGTCTCAAGAACATGTCATTTCTAAAACCTGAGGACCCGTTGCTGGACGCATACGTCAGCATCGATGTCGACGACAACATACTGCTCCGGTCGTCCACTGTGCCCAAAACCTATGATCCTGTCTGGAACGAGTATTTCACCCAAGATGTTCATGACGCCAACCGACTGGGCTTGACAGTGTTCCACGATGCTGTCATTGAAGACTTGTTTGTAGCCAATTGTAAGCTGTCATTCAGTGAACTCATTCAACGTGAAATATCAGAGGATCAAGAATTCTGGGTATGTATTCTACTTAATATTATGTTATAATTGGGTAATACCTAGGTACATAAAAAAAATAATAATATGCCATTTAAATAAACTATTGGATCCAAATTTAAATGGCTATTGGATCCAATTATGACTTCTTTTTAGTGTTATGTATTTTTTTTTGTAAAACTAGAAATTATATTTTTTTGTTAGGTATGAGTTGAATTCCTACAATTATAGATAAGTGGAAGAATAGATTGAATTATTTAACGGATTTCTATCAATATTATTGCTTATGCATGCAAGTATTTAAACAAAATTTCCATTGTTTACTTTATTACCTAATATAAAACAAGCGATATCTTATGTTTCCTACAACTTGCCAAGTATTTATTTTACAATGTGTATGTAGTTACCTATTTGATTTTAATAAACAATATATTCTATAACTGTTATTGTAGTCTGTCTATTGTGTTCATATGAAAATATATTTAATTAAAACACTAAATACCTACCTGATAAAATTTATTTGAGACCAGTATTATTATTTTTGTATTCTAAAGTTGCATGAAAAATCTCTTGTTTGTCTGTTTTTGTGATTGTTTTGGTTTTATAAAGTAACTTTAATATATAAACTAATTTAAATCTGAAATTTGTTGAATATTAAATAAATGAGTCATGTAGTAGTATTACCTATACCTATCTATACTTATTCTTTATAACCAATAATTATTAAAATAGTAAATACAATTTTAAAACGTGTGAAATCTTATGTCAAAAAAAATATTTTTAAACTAGGTTTTGTAAGCAGAGGTTAATTTAAACAGTTTTATAATTTAATACTGAAACAAATATATTGTAATTTTAATAATTTTAGGTATTAGTCTTACTTTATGTATAAGAATGTATGTGTTTTATTGTTAAAATATAATGCCTTGATATTAATTGACTTAGCCTCTGATGAAATTAACTTAATTTAATGGTTTTTTTTTTGTTGAAAAAATATAATTTATTAATTTTAATTTTTTATTTTAAATGACTCATTATATTAAAAATAAACTAAATACCTACATTGCTTGAATAAATTAATTTTGGGTGAGCAATTTTTGTCATGTACCTACCAATATTTTTTTTTACTTGTCAAGAATGTATCGGATACATTTAAAAAGAGACCGATACTTCAAAGACATTTCAAAACACATTTATTGGTGTTGAGTGTAATAATATATAGGTACCTACCTACCTACTTAAAGTTTAATATTTTATTATATTTTTTTTATAATTTAAGTGATTCATAATACCTACTTATTGAAAAATATATAATTAGATAAATAATAGAACTTATACCCAACTTATACTAATAACTAACAGTTTCTATACCTAATAAGCTTTGTTGCTTTGAAAATTAATGATAGGTAATTTGACATAATATTCATTGACCTTAAATATGTGTTGTACCTACTTATTGTACCTACCTATTACTTATTTATAAAAAAGGTTAAGTGGATGTCTTGCAATTGGTTTCAATGTTACCCTTTTACATTAAAAAAATCAATAAATTAAGTTTCTTACATTTTTAATATAATATAGTCACAGAGGTTGCTACTTTAATGTAATAATTTTGGTATTGCAGTAATGACCATTTAATTACCTAATAAAATTATTGAACACGAATAACAAAAAATAGCTAATATACATTAACTGTAGCCATGTAGGTAAATATAGGGGTAAATATACAAATAATGTTAAACTATAATAATATTGTAATATTACCTACTACCTATTAGTATTTAAAAATTAATAATTAATTTCAGAAACATTTTGCCTTCTGATAATTTTTAATTCTGTGATATTGATTTTTGTGTAATACCTAAGGTTGTCTTTCTATATAAAATAACTATATTTCATGAGTTCAAAATAAAAATTATACCAATTTTAATAAACGGTTGTTTTCAAATAAGTAATGGAAAATTGTTGGTAGGTACCTGTAAAGTTGGTATCTGATGTATCTTGTACTAGAAGTACATAATAATATGTAGGTATTACATTTTTTTACATACAAACACTTATACATTTATACATAAATATTTTTGACATAAGATGTTACCTATCCATATTGACTTATTAATCTTCTTTCTCATATTTACTAACTAAATAGGTACCTACTGAAAATTGTTTGTATTTAGGAATTGTAGGCATTATTTACTCTTAGACATTCTTTGCGTTTGTATTTACAATTCTATGTTTTGATGAATTAAATCATTACTTATAATTTGTCTCAAAAGAAAACGATCACTTTTTGCGCATCGTGAATGAAACGATTGGTGTGTTGGGAACCATGTGATCATGCTTATAAGTTATAACTGATTGTTGTTGGGATATGCGCAGAACTGACGATCATCGGTTGGCCGACTTATTATTCTCTTTTGAGACAAAGTTGTTTGGTACTTATTATTAGTTGCACACTGTTTTGGGTCTGTTTTCATGTGTTATACCTACTTTTAATTAAAATAAATAATAATAGGTAAGTGAACTAACTATAAATTAAATTTTCAAAGTAATGAAACTTACTAAGTTAGTGTATCTATATTTTTCTTTTATTATTTTAAGAACCAAAACTAGATAAAATTCATCAATTTTTTATTTTTTAAATATTTTTAAAGAAGAAAAATATTAAAAATTGTAAACATTAAACAAAATTAATAATTTAGATGAAATAGGATTACCCATATATCTAGATTACTTGTAATGATATTTACATTGTATGACTTAAGCATATAAAAGTATTACTTATTGATATAGGTGCTTATGTTTTCAAAAAGTATCTGCCTATATGAAGTTCTAATAAATTAAACACTATCACACATGTAAGCACTTGAACTTTATTAAGGTTTCCGATGATAATTGATAAATTACATTAGTTTACTTGATTGAGTTATACTTATACCAATTTTACCAATAAATATACCTATTACCTAGGAATGCACAATAATTAATAATCTAAATATTAAAGCTACAATCCGTTTAAGTCCTTATTTATAATATTTTACTACTTAATAACATTAATATGTAATTAATATTATAAAATATGTACCACTTGCAACATAAAATAAATGTTCACTGGTACCATAGTTCATACTTCATAGCATGTTATTATTTATCAATGTATTGTTTATTTATTTTAACAACAATCATTGCTTATATATAAATCATGTATCTTAAAACAGGTATATTAGGTACTTTAGGTACCTTATGCATTGAATTTCCAATACATGAATAATATGCATATAAATAGCGCAATAGGCTATCTAAAAATTGTGAAGAACTCATTCCTACTGTATAAATAAAACAGTTTACTCACAAAATATTGAAAGGACCTAATATTAAATATCAAAAAATACAATAGATCCGTGATTCACTTAGAATAGAAATAATAAATCAAAAATGTTGTTTTGTTGATATTTTTCTTGTAAAAATAAATTAAATTTGTACTTACCTATTTATAATTTATTGAATTAATCCTTTTTTTTATTTTGCCAATTTTTTAGTTAATAAATAATGAAATTTTAATAATTTCAAGACCAATTTTTAAATTTTTATTTGAAAATATATACTTATATAAATTATTATAAGCTATTAACTACCTTGCCGAAGTACCTTCACTGGATGGTTTCTTCCCTCAAGACACTCAAGCCATTATACATAATTAAAAAAAAAACCTATACATTATGCTTATTGCACTTTGTTTTTGTATAGATTGTATAATTTTCTAGATTAAAAATAAAAAAAAAAACTACAATTAACTACATACCTAATTAGATATTAGTTAACTACCTAGGTATTGAAATTAACTCGACAAATTAAATTACATATCTAATATTAAATTAGTAATGATAAATATGACATTCCTATTATTTATTTAAATATTTATGTACGGTGATTCACTAAGCATGCCGCCCTCATATTTTGCTTTGATAATGAATTTATTCAAATGCTGGTTTTTAAAATTTTTAAATACATTTAAAGACAATTTTTTTAGTTCTTGAATTTTGTTGTTGTACTAGAGAATGTCTTGTGGCGACTCAAACCTCTGTTTTTCAAATGAGAACCCCTTGTTTTATAATTAGGGAGAGCATGCTTTGTGAATCACCCTGAATATATATATATTTACTTATTGGGTAATTGTGTTTCTTTTTTATTTTGAAATTAATTAATAAAAAACTTTATTTCATAATTTAGTTTAATCAATACTGAATTTACACAAATTATTAATTGAGATTTGTATCAATGAATTGAGGTTAAGAATAAAATTACGTTCTAGGTAAAATATTATTTCATCAGGTTTTAAGATTTTTTGTTCAAATGTAATTTTTGTAATTACTGGTTAATTACATACATTTGAAGAAAATTCTCAAAAGTATTTTTACCTAGTCCCTCTACAAATAACTTATCAAGATGAAGTATTTTTTCTAAATTTACTTTTTATTTAATATAAAAAATGATAGTTTAATTTACTATGTTAGGCACTATGACCTAACATTTTATAAGTTTAGTACCTAGTATATATCTGATTTATTTTTTGAAATTTCGAAATTAAGATTTGAAATATTAAAAATTTAAAAAGGTGTTGATTTTTTTGTTTAGATAAAATTTGTTATTTGACCATACTTATTCGTTTTGTGGTATTTTATATGAGCACTTATAATATATTTAATAAGAAACCTGGTAAACCGAGCTCTTCTAAACAAACCAAATATTATTTTAAATCCGATTATTTTACCATTCCTTTGATATTATTTTATATTAAAACAACTCGATCCTGAGCTGGACCTCAGGGTCAGCAAAGCGAGACGAATGTTCGAAAACCCGTAGTTTATAAAAAAAATAAATTTTTTTTAAAAGAAGAAATTTTTGCCAATTGTATTGAAGTTTAATAAAAGATATAATCTAACTTATAAGTTTTTTTTTTAAATTTATATTAAAGATTAAAAAAAAAATATATATATAATATTATTTAAACGAAGTCAATT